CACCATTACAGTTTCAACCACATAAAATATGTACAAAAAATCATTATGGGATAAATCAAGAATTTAATTTGTGACACGCATTTCAATTTATATAATCATTTTTTCTGAAACTGATTATCAGAATTATAAGTATTCTGATAATTTTTATTTTACAATTGGGCCTCGTTTTTTTTTATGAAATAAAGTTTTACCCCCTTGCTCAGATAAAAAATGCAATTTATTAAAACAATTCTGTTTTTAATTTAGTTTTGTATAAATACCTTATATAAAAAGAAATAGATTCATCTCGAAATATTGCAATTTTTAGCAAACTGTTATATTAAAAAATATTGAAGAAAATTTTAAATTTGAGTATGTTAACAATCGTAAATGTTTGACATTCGAGGGCACTCTTATTCTATAGGTTCGACATGAAATTATAAATTATTTTAAAATTACACCAAAATAAAATAATATTTATTTTATTTTAATTCCATTACAAATATTATCTAAATAATATTAAAACAATTGTACAAATTATTACAAATTTTTAACAAGTACAATACTGAAAAATTTACTTATCTTGAATACCAATGTATTTTGCAAACTTTATACAAAAATTTATTTTATATAACTATATAACAATATTGAATTTAATATACAACCATATCATATATATATATATATAGAATATATACTAAAGCTCATGTACATATCGAATTTTTAAATTAATAAAGTAAATATAAAAATACTGTTTATATATAGAAGTACAAATATTCAAATGAGTTTTACAATATTTTCAATAGAATATTACAAATCAATTCAAGCTGAATAAATATGTAATAAAAAAAAATATTTATAAACATTAACGTTTTAACGTTACACTCGTATTCTATAAAAAATAAACATATTTTATTTTTATTATTTACAAGTCCTTTTTTACATTGTATGTATGTATGTAGGTATATTGCATAGACATACATATGGTAAATATAGTTAAATTTATTAAATGTATATATGTACATAATTATATTAAAAATGTATATGCGTAGTAATTTATGTAATCGTTTCCATTTTTTAAAATTTAAATGTACGTACATACATATACATACATATATAGAACTAGTTATTTATATTTTGGCAATTTTAATTTATTATGCTATTATAAAATACATATTACTTCCCATTACATACATATCTACATATACATATTGATATTCTTCTAAAAAGACTTAATATATATATATACATGTACTAATATTATATACATATGTACGTATGCAATATCGAATCGTAAATATAAAAATCAAATGAACGCTAAAATTATATAAAAAAAAAAAGTTATTTTAAAAGTAATTTATACTTTGAGTATATGATTTACATATACGACTACGCAATATCCTTATTATATACATACATATATGTATATTTATATTTAAATATCTTTATGTAATCATGAAATGAGTTTAAATAAAAATTATGTAATTTATAAAAAAATTTCAATTTAACTTATTGAAAATTTTGAAAACTTGTTAAAGAGAGTTAAAAATTAAGACTCTCTTTGACAAGTTAAGAAAGAAATATTAAAATTTCACGATTATTGTATGACTTACAACTGCCCATGCAGCCACCAAAGAGTTTCCAAACTTTCAATTTACAAAAATTCAAATTTCGCTACCATACTTCTGCCTTTAAAGTTTCAGATACTCAGAATTGTCTTTCAAACTATGATTTCGGTAGAATTTCTATAGATTATTTTGAAGTCCAATGCTACGGCACAGATGTGGAAATAATTCATTTTTCACTTAATTTAATTTAATTTAATTTTTTTTTAATTTTATGCACATCATTATAATAATGATACGTTTCATATATTGGAAAATTATCCTGTAGCTTTGCAGAATAGCCCATCAATTTGAGTTCAAATTGCTTTGTTATTTTATAAATATGAAATGGAACTCTCAAATCCGACACAAAACTCTAAAAACGCCTACTAGTTCACTATATTCGAAAATAAAGCTATAATGATAAATTTTAGCTATAATTTTAACGAAAAAAATTTCCACATTCAAAAGTTTTAATCGAAACTCTTTTGAAATACAAACCGTTTATTAATTTAAAGATTTTTTTTATTATATGAAATCATTAAATAGTTATGGCTTCATTCACTGAATATTTGGTAATAATATGCCTAAAGTGTATACTACAAAGAAAAACAAAGTCAATTCTATCGCCATTCATGAAAAATAATCCAAATCAAATAACTAAAATTATTATCCAACTCCAGCATATTCCTGTGAGATCACAATTACTGTGAGATAATTTTTTATAAGAAACATTTCAATTGTTAATACAAAAATTAAATGCAATTTTATGGAATGTTTAAACTTTGACGTGAATCGGCAAACACATACATAGTAAGGTTAAAACTTTTTACATAGCCAAATCATAACAGGATTTTTCGCAAACTTTCTAATTTAAATTTTAACTTAATAATTAGCAAATAAGGAATAATAAATACTTAACTTGAAAAACTAACACTCGTACTAATCTTATACTCATATAATTTACTCATATACATCATTTTAAAGAAGAAAATCATAAATTACATACACTTGTAAACAATTGAACGTAGTGTCAAACTTGTTCGAAATTCTTAATTCTGTTTTCATAATAATTTTTTTTCGTATTTTGTTTTTCAAATTTTATCAAACAAAACAATTTAATAACTTTCTTACGGGGAAATTCTCAAGGACACATTCATTAGAGCAGATGCAAAAATGTTGTATACATTTACGTATACACACATTTTATATATACATTATATACTTACAAATTTATAAAAATATAAATATCCTTGACGGATATATCCTTGATTTTATAAATATATATATATTAAAAGTTTTACTTCCGTATATTCAGGTTTTTGTAGTACATTAAGGAAGAGAAAATAAAAAGAAAGAGAAAATTTCAAATTAATCACAATCAGGTTAATAACCAAACATTTGTTATAAAAAAAAATCGTTGTAAGAAAATTTTATTAAGAAATATAAAAGAGGATATTAAAAATTTGGATTTTTCATTAACGAATAAAAAAAACCTTTAACATTTACTAAAAAAAAAAATATTTTGAATTCATAAATCACTTTTATTATTTCTAATTTTAAAAATTTGATAAAAATAAAAAATATTTTGAAAAAACTCAAATATTTCTTTTTGATTAAAATTTGTAAATTTAGCATAAGAGTTAAGAATTAATTAATTGAATGAAAAACAATTTAAATTTTCGGAATGCAAAATAATAATTAGGAAATATTTAAAGCGTTACCATTGTAGCACAATAGTTGTAGCATTTTTATATTTACCGTAATTTTATTTATATTTTTGGTATGTGAATTGTAATATCAACAAATTATTTATTTATGTGTTTTTATTCAAACATGTATTAATTTTGAAAACACACATTGGTTTTTGAAAGCTTTCTAAAACTTGAGGTTTTAGAATAAAATATACATATTTCTAATAAATAATCTACTTCAAAAAGATTTATTATCTAAAATTACACGTTTACCAAGAAAAATCAATGATTCCTTTTGAAACAAATAAGAATTGTTATTTGCTTGCGTAAATTTTATAGCAAAATATAGGTTCCTATAATAATTTGATCAACATATACAAAAATTTGATATAAAATTCCACAAAGTTTGGCTACCTTATTGCGCCGAAACTATTTAAACTTCTCAAATTCAGAAAGTTTAAATAATTCTTTCTATCAAAAGACAAATTGGCTTTGCAAATTCATCGTTATTCTATAATTTTTATTTTTTCAAATTTTTAATATAATTTTTCTATTAATTGTCAAGTCCGAAAGTTTTAAACTTTGATATCTTAAAGAAATCAGTAAACATTATATTAAATTAGAACAGAATTTTTTGCTCACAATTTTAGCAAAATTACAATTTTCAATAAGTTTTTCTTTCGAAATTTTAAGCATTATTTTACTTCCAATAAAGTAAGAATATTTTCTTACTTTAAATAAAATTAAATAGATTAAATAGATTTTTTTTAATATACCTCCTAAATGTATAAAACAAAACTTAGGTGTAAGTTACTTTTTCCATTTTTACTCTGATAAAGGATAAGGCAAAAAATTTATTCGACAATTGAAGAAAAGCCAGAGATAGACCAGTAATAGCATATACGTCATGCCAATTTGGTATAATATTACCGCAAATTTAATTAAAAAAATTAAATTCAAGAGAAACGGTATATCAATATTATTATTCAAATAAATTTATTCATAAAATTTTCAACTTAAATGGAATACAAAATTTTTTAATTAAATTGATCTGTAGACATTTTAACAGGACGTTAAAAACTCAAAAAAATGGCTTAATATCCAATATATTTTAGCACAATGAAGAGTATATTAAACAAACTTTAATATTTGGGCTTATCGCACATGAAAATTTTACATACATTGATAACAAAGGTAAAACCCAGAACGTTGGGCATGTCCCTATAATTTCACGTTAAAAACCGGGCCGGACCAAATGTTAAGACATAACTTATGATCCAGGTCATTCGGATAATGGCCAATTAAAGTTTGATATGTGTATATAGCATAGGGGTACCCTAATAAAACCAGATTAATGGTGGTTGCCATAATAATAACAAATAACAAAAAAAAGAAAACTGAGTGCAAATTGTGATTCCAGTATTTTAACATTAGCAATTTATTTAATTAGCGTTTCATATTAATAATTAAAAACAATTGAGCACAAATATTACAAAAATTGTAGTATATGAAGCTTTATTGAAACAATGTGATAAATAAAATAATCCACCTAACGTTGTAAATGTGCATGTGTCCCTCGACTGCTTCTATATACTTGAATCTATTTAATTTACGATAACTATTTGATATCTTATGTTGTTTTATCAAAAAATTAGATGATCTTAAAATTTTATCAAAATTCTATTACTATTTATAAAAAAAAAATCATAAATTCTGTACTTACATTTTTAAAGAAATTTCCGTTTTTATTGCATATTTTTCTTAATTTAATATTTTCCTGTTTCCTTTTCACAAATTATTTATTTACTGTGTAAGTACTTATTTTTCTTCTCTTACATATATATATTTCAATTACATTTGTAATTAATTAATTAAATACAAAAAATAAATTTTAAGAAATAAAATTTTAAAATGGCATGACGACAATAATTTTAAAATATAAAATATAATTATGTTTATAGAATGTTTTTTAATTTGGTGTGGTATGTAAAGGTGTTAGAATTTTCCGATTTTCATTCGACTGATGATTTAGTTATCACATTTATCAAATATCATGTTGCACATTTATAATAGAGTTCGTGTTCTTTTCTTCTTTTTTTTCAGATTTTCATTAACATAATTTTTTGCAAGTTTTCCAGAAAATTTTTCTAATGCTATTGTTGATTTTTAATTTTCTTCTTTATTTACAGCAAATTGCATTTTTATTTTTTTTTTAATTTATTCTTCATATTTTTGTAGCCATATTTTTGTAATGTTTAAATTTATTTATTTTATATGATTTTTTTTTGATTATTTTGTTAATTAATTGTTAATTTAAATTTTTTTTAGCGCACTAATAATTTTTTTAATACTTTTGAATTTAGTGATAAAAATAATTCAAAAAAAATTTTTCTTTGCATTTTGTGTTTTGCTTAAAAAAATTCTTTTTTTCCTCTCCTCATTTCTTTTCCTTCTTTTTTTTCTTGTTTTAGAAACAAAATAAAATTTTAATATTTAAATTATATAACACAATTTTTTTTTGTTTTTTTTTTTTTTTTATACTTTTTTTTTTCAATAAAAATATCTTCCAAACAGTTTAAAAAGCACCTAGAAATATAAAAGAGTTATTTACATATAAATGGCGTGTTTAAATTCGAAAATTCTTTTGATTTTGAATAATATTGTGTGTTTGAATTTAAAATGTTTAATCATACATTCAATTGCATATGCAATACCTAAATAAAATATTTTTTTTAATTAATTGCGGCCTAGTAACTACAATGTAATTAGGCCCCAATGGCAAAGATTACAAACGTAGAAGATTCTGTTTAAACAACATTCCTAAAAATACAGTAAAAGTTATGTGAGCGAAAATCAAATGTAAACTTTTTTAATTAAGCCTTAAATAGTTTAAACCTTTCAACTTTTGTATAATTCCAACAAAACCAAAATATATAGATCTTAAAATTTAAAAGCAAAAAATGTTTATTTTAATTTTAATATTCTGATTTTAACTTTAAATTTGTTGCTCTAAACAAAATGGAAAGACAGTGTAACATTGTTCTAAAATAAACTATAGAAGACAATACTGCGTTTTTCTTGAAAAAAAAATATTTTTAAATTTAATTTAGTATGTAATAAGTATTTATTTTAGCGCCAATTTGTATGCATAGCATTAATAAAAAATTTAACAGAAATTCAATTCTTTGACTTCATACCTTTTGTATATTTTAGCTGTTTTGAAAACTTATTAAAAAAAGTAATATGTTACATATTATTTAATATGAAAGTACGTAAATAAGTAAAAAAATTGTAATAAATTTATATGTATATATTCAATAAAATTCAAATAAATGCAAAAACTTTAAAAAGTATAAGAAAATTTCATGATAAAATTATTTAGGCGCGATAATTTTACTAAACATACTTATAAAATTGTTTCTATACTATGTTTTTTTTAGTATGTATATGTATACTATATACATACAATTACAATATTGTATATTATATAATTTAGAAATTTAGATATATACATACAAACTGCTTATGTATAGTGATATAAGAGTAATTTTCAAATTAATAAGCATATGTAAAGACAATATTATTGTAAATCAAAAATTAAGTAAATAAAACTTATAATTTTTTATCCCTTTTGTAGATTTAAATATTTTAAAAATTTATTATTATTTGTTTAAAAATTTTCAATAAATTATTTTATTTCCTGTTGTTGTATTAATAATTTTAAAATTGTATAATGATTATGACTTTTAATTTATAGTAAACAAAAATTATTTTTGCAAGTTTCTAAATTATAATTTCTATAATAATCCATATTACAATAAATTTTTAATTATATTCATATTTTAACATTTTTCATATATATTTTAAATGTTTGAACTCTTAATTTTTAATCATTAAAACAAATTTTATATAAATAATTTAATTATGCACAGTTTTAAACAATAATAATACAAAAAAATTTCAATATTCACTAAAACTTAATGATTTTATTAAAAAATTAAAGTTTGTAATTCAATAACAGTTCAATTAATTACTTTTAATAAAAAAATTTTCAAGTATTGCAAAAATATTTTTATTTATTGTGTTTTTTTCTTATTTTCTCAAAATTCAAGTTTTTTTTCTGAATCATAATTATCATATAATTATTTTAATTTTAAATTTAAATGTACTTAATTGGTGTTTGTTTTAATATTAAAATGTAATTATGTATAAGTACTTAGTTTTTAAAAATAACAAATACAAAAAAAAATTAATTCTAAACTTAAATACATAAAAACTATTTAAACTGTAAATATTAAAAATTATATGAAGTTAACAAAGTACGTTTATGTTATGCACTATGTTAGTTATTTAGAAAAAACAAACTAAGAACAACAAAAATAACAAAATAATAACGCAACTATTATAAATTTTTCTGGCGCATGTTGTATCCATTTTTTTTTACAAAATTACTTTTTTCAACGTTTTTTTATTTTTATTAAAAAAAAACAAAAACTTTCAGAGAATTTATCAACTATTTTAGAGCATTTTAGATCAGGTTATACATTTGGTGAGGTTAGGATTTTATTATAGTTTTAGTAATCTTCTGTAACATAATTGCACATAAATCCATTATTAATTTAATCCTTTTTTATTTTAAGTAAATGTTATATATTAAATGTAAATGTAAATTAAATATTTAAACGAAATATGAAAAATTAGAATAAACTATTTTTTTTTATATAAGTTTTTTATGTAATTATTATGTAAATAATTATTAATTATTTAAAATCAACTAAATTAATTTATTCTATTTAAATAAAATGTGGTTATATATTATTGAATTTATTTTTAGTTCTGTTTATATTAATTTTATAATGAAATTTTTAATTAAAAATAATTAATAAATTAATTAATTATTTACAATAAATGCGTTTACTAAAAATTTTTAATATATTTAAGATTTAACAAATAAATATTATATTATCCTTTTTGCCACATTCACTTGTAACTATATGTATATATATAGCATTATTATTAAAATTAGAGCACATCATATTTATTTTTAACTGTGAAATTATTTTAAACTGTGATTTATATAAAAATTACAGATAAAATATGTAAATTAAATTTATATTTGAATAATTTTAAAAAATTCAAAAGAAAAATTTAATGTTATTTTTATTTCATATAGAATTTTTTAATGTTATTGTTTCTTTTTCTCAATATGTTCAATATTACATAAAATATATACTACACAAAGTATATACACCTTCACAATATTATATTTTCATTTTATATATATATATAAAAACTCCTAAGAAGCAACAACACGGAAGTTGTAATAAAAAAAAAAAAAGTAAAAAAATAAAACAAAAAAAAAAATATTCAAAAAATATTTTTTTTATTTTATTAATTTTCTATTTCATTCCTAAACAAAACTTAATAAATATTTGTATGCAATTTTATTCCTTATACACATCTATGTATACATTGATAAATATATATATATATTAAATAATATATTTCTATTTTATATACATTGAATATAAATGTATATATACAATAATAAATAAAATGTACAACAACCCATAAGAAGAAGGAAATCAAAAGTGTTATCCTTGACTTAATTATTCCATTTTATATTTTTATTTATTTATTTTTATTTTTTGTTATTATTGTTATTATTATTATTTCTTCTACTCAATTTTAAGAAACAAATGAAAGTTTTTCATAAACAAAAACAATAATAATAACAATAATAAATAAGAAGAAAAAGGAGGCTACAGGAAAAAAAAAAAACAAAAAAAAAACAAATAGAAATCAACCAAAATGAAAACAAACTTTTTCCTCCTTTTTTTATTTCTGTTTTTTTTTTGTTTAGAAAATAAATAAGAAAAATTCTAGCATAACTAAATAGAAATGAATTTCTTTTGAAGAAAAATTTTTAACAAAAACAGAAAAAAAAAGAAATTACATAGTAAAGGAAAACACAGTAAAAAAAATTTAAATTTTTTTTTTTATAAAAAAAAAATGTATCACAAAAATTTTGGAAAAAAAAAATTATTTATTTTTTTTCATTTTTTTTTCGGACATAGTTAAAGACTAACCCAAAAAATAGATAAACCGGTGGTAAAAAAACTTTAGTGCGGCTATAAAAACCTCTGAACGGATTAAGTGTAATCTACAAACTAAAAATAAAAATACACATTTTCCAAAAAAAAACAAAAAAAAAGTATATAAAATATACATATATCATTTCATATATACATTAATTTTTATACACAAACATACAATTGGTTTGATATACGAAAAATAAAAATATAAATGAAGAGGCACAAAAAAAATCTACTGTAAAAATGAATTGGAAAAAAAAAGTTGCTTTTTTATTTTGCATACAAATTTTATAAATATATGTGCATATACTTATGCACATATACAAAATATATACACACATATGTATGTAAGTAAATAAAAAAAAAATTATTTTTGCACACAATCAGTAAAAAATATTTGGTTTTTTTTTTTGTTTTTTATTATTTTTTCTTTTTTTCTTACTACTTTTTAGTATAAAAATAAATTTTATGTATTTTTTTTTTGTTTTCACATCACAAAACACACAACTATATAACAAACACTGAACATATTATGTATGCAAAAAGTATTTACAAACAGACGTTTATATTATTATCGTATATCTATACGTACATACATATATGTGTGTCTATTTATAATATTGTTAACTCCATATCTACACCAACCCGTATAATTTTTACATATAGTACATTTAGTAAATACGTATATGAATGAGAATGTTTAAATGTAGATATATTTAATATCTACATCATTATATGTAATTATGTACGAATGTACAATAATATACGTGCATAATGATATACATATATGTACAACAAATATACATACACTAAGTATAATAATAAAATGTGATATTATCCATGCCAAATATTCATATGTTTGTTTGCATGTTTCTTTATATAATAAATGACAGAGAGAAAAAAATCAAGTAGAAAAAGTAGAAAAAAAGGTACATTTCGTTTGTTTTGTTTCTTTTTTCTCTTTTTTTCTCGTTTTGTTCTTTTGTTTTTTTTTTATTTTATATTCTCTTACAGAAAAATGTTGTCGATATATTTTCATCTCCTCCTCTTTCTCCTCTTTTTCGCATTTTTTTATGTGTTACAAATTTATACATATACTCAAATAAGCACGTATTAAATATATATGTAAATATAGCATATGGTATACAAATACGAGTATAAAAATATTTTATAGGATGCTTTTTATTTAATGTTTGTTTTTTTTTCTCTCTTTTTTTAACATTTTCATCTATAGTCCGTTTGTTTTTGCGTTTTTTTTAATTCTGCTGTTGATGATTTTGTTTTTAAAGGGCATACAATTTCTACAATACCCTGAATAGTTGTTACCTATTTGTATATATTTTTGATACAAACCATACACCATGTGAGTATCTGAAAATATAGGAACATATGTATTCTCATAATATATACATATATATATATAAATTATAATAATAAAAAACAAAATAATATTAAAGGAATAATGTTTTATGGAAAAAAATATTCATTTATCATGCATATTTTGGTGCTGAAAGACATACATACATACAAAATTAGATACATTCATACATATATATGAACAAACGAATATATTTATGTGCGAAATGCACAAATATTTATGTATACATATCTATGAAAATACATATGTATATAATGATATGGTATATACCTGTATGTACTTACACTTTATAATTTTGTACCTTTGCAAGTATGTATATACATGATTTAAATTTTACATAGGTACAATAAATTCTTAAAAATGTTATTTTGTTAAAAAAAAATTAAATTTTATTTTTGTAAAATATTTTTAATATTTAAGCATTATAACAAACACAACTAAACTACTTTTCAAAAAAACCTAAATGTATAATCTTAAAAATCTTATATAGAAACATTTTATTTTTTTTTAATTTCCCAAATTTCCAAAATTTTGGACTTACAATGATTTTAATTAGAAGTACAGAAGATAAACGTGCAAAATAGAAAAAATGGTATACGCGCTTTGTTGTTGTTTATTTTCATCTCTCTTTTTCTTACAAACATACACCTATAGTCCTATAATGTTGTTATTCTTATTCTCAAAATTTTTCTGACTTTTTTTTTGTTTTTATAATGTAGCTTAAGTTGCATGTTATACTCCTACTCCTACCTCATAATAAATTTTACCTCCGCTTTTTTTTCTCTATTTTTTAATACCCTTATAAAATGTAGCTTTATGGTTTGTTGTCTATATAATTATTATGATTTTGGCATCGTTTCAATACAATCCATAACACTCTAAAATACAATATCAAAGGGAAAGAAAAAAAAAACAAAATTAATAACGAAACAAAACAAAAAAGCAAGAAGACTAAAGAAAATTCAGCTCTCAAAAAGTATTTCAATTTCGTTTAATATTACAACAATAACATAATAACGAACGAACATAATAGCGTCAACAATAGCAGCAGCAGCAGCAGCGAAAGCAATAACAACATCAATATTGAGAAATGAGATAAACATAAAAATTTTATAATATTAAATAAAAAATCTGCACACATAACATTCAGAAATATAATATATTTTTAAAACAATCTACATATGCAAACATATGTATGTATTAATGTTTTTGAATTCATTCTAGTATATCAATCGCGTTCACATATATTTACTTTTATACCATACGCTACTCTAATGCAAAAACATAAACAAAAGAAAAAATAAAAGAGGAGAAATACTTGAGTATACTTTTTGGCGCTCTCTCATTCTATTTTTTTATTATCCTTATTTCTTTGTTTTCTTTTTGAATGAAATTCTCTTCTCACTCAGCAAAAACAAATTATTTGAAACGACAGAGCATTATTTGTAAAATGTGTAAAAATATAAATACAGTCAGGATTCAAAATCAAATTCAAAATGTGCGGTATATAGTACACATTCAGCCCTTACCTTTCTCTGTACAATACAAATACAAAAATAAAATAAAAATTTGTACCTAATGGGTACATACTGAGGAAGTTAAACATATTTACAGGTTAACACAAAAGCTTTTTTGTTACAAAATTTTATTTTACATATTATACATAACATGTAACTATTATAATTATTTAGACCAGTAAAATCAACAACGAACGTTGTTATTTTGAATACAAAATGCTATTTTTATTTAACAAGTACTTCTTTTATATTATTATTACAGCTATATCTGATTGTATTAAAATTGTATTATGAAAATTAAATTTGAATTTCCTTTGGTATATAAAGTTAAATTTTAAGGAAAAAAATATCACTAAATGCAAGAAAATAATATATTTCTTATTGATTTCAAATTCTATAATATTAGAGCGTATTAGATATAACAAGATATTATAAATTAAATATCAACACTATGTAATTTTATATGATAAAATTGTAATTTTATATGATAAAAAAATATTCGGAGGAAACGAATAGAAGTTGACGAGATCTTGTCAAAGACATTCCTGCATAATATACATGTTACGACAATTTTCGCTAGATTTTCAACTGAAAAAGTTTTTGCAGTGGCATTTTATTTTTCTTGTAATTTTCACTTAATGCAAATCTTTTCATACTTTAAAAATAATCTCATTAATGAACTAAATTAATTTTTTTAATACAGAATAATATCGTTAATATTTCAACTCAATCAATTTAATTATATTTACATTTATCTCCTTCAGACTTGTTTAGTTTAAAAGAAAAATGTGTGACAACACTGACTTTATTATACTTGTATATTACTTAAGGAATTTAACGAAACTCTCATCATACAGAAAATTACTATTTCATAAAACATATTATTATATTTATTATTTTAGTATATGGAGGACATAGATACTTTTGCAAGTAACGAACACAATGCAATACAATCCATTATATCCATTTAAAATTATGTATTTGTATGTATACGTTAACTGTAAGAAAAAACGTAAATTATTATGTTACAATATGCCATACATAAATGTTTGTACATATGCATACATACTTCATGCATTGAGGATATTTACTTCGAACAAAAAACAAACGAACAAATACTAGAAAACATTGAACTTATGAAGTTAAAATATATTCACGGTAAATGTGTATGTATGCATAAGTATCTTATCTATTTTATGTAAAGTAATATGACGTTTTTTGTACACCATTATTCAAAGTAAGAAATAAAAAAATTTTGTGTATAATGCGGTCTATATAATAATATTTTCTTGAAATAATTATATTCGATATTTCACACAAGAGAAGAAAAATTTATATTGAACTGAAAGCTGCTTTTTTTAACACAAAGATATGTACACATAAAAAACTCTCAATTTAAACATAAAAAGAGTTCAAGCTTTTTTATAAAAATAAAATTTTATATGATTTCATAAAATATTTCATTGTTTATATATCTATATATTATATTTTATATCATAAGTGCACAACCATATTCATATAAAACAATTAAACATATATACATTAAATATGCAAAAATATATTAGATTGTGGGTACATACAAGATTGTATGAATACACTAATCACAACAAATGAAGTATATGCAAGTGGCAAAAAAGAAAATTCAAACATTACTTTATAAAAATATGTATACATCGATATACATATATATGCATAAAAAGTTGAAATATGTGTCTAGTTTGGTTTGAAACCAAAAAAATTTGCAGATAAAATGAAAAGTTAAACACATACGCATATTCATAAGTATAACACTAAAAATAACATTAATAATCCTTCATATACCTTATACAATTATACGCTCGTAGATACATATATAAATGTACATTTAATTTAAATGATTGAATATGAACATTATAAAAATGTCTTTTGAACAACAAAAAAAAACGCAAAAACATATTGCGACTTATAAAATTAAAGACCAATATAACGCAAACCAGTGTATAACGAAAAACGAAATTTTGCTTGAATATAAACTTAAACTCGTTTAAAAAACTAAAATGAAAAAATAAATTAATTCTTATTTTAAGCAAAAAATATAATGGTATATATGAAATATTTATTCTACTAACCATAGGATTTACTTTTTAATTAGTTTTTAGCATTAGCTTCGATGATTTAGAGAACTTCTTATAA